TGAGTCAGTGATTCCGTGGGTCCCTATGGCACCTTGTGGGTTTTCTGGGCAGCCCGGGCTGCTGGTTGGCGACCCTGCACACAGCAGGGGGTTGGAACTGATGATCATTGTGGTCCTTTTCAACCCAGGCCATTCTAGGATTCTATGATTCCACGACTCGTGGAGACTTGGGCAAGCTCCAGCTCGTCTCCATAGGAACACAGTGGGAGAGATGGAGCCGCCGAGCTGTTATCAGGACGATCCGTGGGTTAATTTAGAGATAAGGGGCTGAAAGTCTTGGTGTGCTGCTCCATACCCCCCCCCAGCACAGGGTGTGGGGGACCCCCGACTCCGGGCTCGTCCCCCCCGCACGATGGCAGCACGAACCAAGGCACCGAGCGCCTCAGGTGCCGCCTTTGTTCCTCTCCCTCTTACGAAATGCCATAAATTGTGGCACAGCTCCCCCGCCCGACCCGCTGCTGGAAGGCCATTGTTCCGCCGGGCTTCATCTCAGAGCCGCTTTATGAGACGTGCTGAAATATCGCTTCCTCGCTGTTGAATCAGCCTGTTCCCACCGGGAGATAAAAGCCGATGGCTCGATTGCAACGGGGACATTTTGTTACTCTCCTCCATCAGCTGACTGGATGCTTTAATTGAGTGGAGGTGCTGCCCAGGGCTGTGCTCTGAGCTCCTGCACTGCACCCATTGAGCTCTACAGTGCTGCAAGCAATGGGGTTCAGCCCCTGCATCCTCCAGAATGCTGCTCTGCATTGGGTGCAGGTGCAAAGCTGTGAGCCCCATGTTGGATCTCTGCTGCTCCTGCTGCTCCCATTCCCCTCCAAAGGCTTTGGATTTTTTTTTTTTTCCCCCAATAGATTCTTATTGCAGCGCAGGTACCTCAGTGGTGGTGCTTCTGGTGGCCCATTTTAACGAGCAGATGGCAGACACTCAGCCTGCAGAACCACCACGAATGCCATTTGCTCCGTCCCTGCAGGAAAGGAGCAGCTGATGCTCACACCCCAAGGGGCTGCACGCAAAGCTCCAGCCCTGGGTCTGCCTTCCCCGAGCTCAGTGCTGCTTCCCAAATGGGATTTCCCACTTTGAAGCAATCCCTGCGTGCCCTCTCCTGCTGACACAAGGCAGGGGAAGCAGCAGCATCACCCAACACTGCATGAGCAATTCCCTTCGAGGCTCCTCACCGCTCAGCAGAGGTGTGAAGCCGAGCTCGGATGGCACAGCAGCAGCTGCCACGGCTGCTCTGCAGACATCAGCAGCCATTGCTCATCCCAATAAAGCATGGAGGGGATGGGGGGGCTCTCCCTGCACCTCCCCAGTGCTGCGTGGGGGTGTGGGTGGGGATGGCACAGCTGCAGGAGCGTTGCAGTGACTGTGCAGCTGCAGCAGCTCGGCGCTGGCTGCGACAACAGCAGCCATCCCCACGGCTGAGGCTGCCACGTGAGCCCTCGCCTTGGCTGCTGGTGGGCTCATCTGTCACGTTTTTATGGCTGTCACTGTCTGCTGGGCGCCTTGGCCTTCAGCCTTGCGCTGCCGTTGCTCAGGGAGCCGCGTTCTTGCATGGCTCTGCTGCTCAGAGCCTTCGGCCCTTTGTGGCTGTGTGGGGGCTGTGTGAAGGAAGTCCTTGGATGGGGAAGCGGTGAGAAGGGGCTCCCAGTGCTGCTCTGAATGAAGGCAGCAGCTCCCAGGCAGCTCATCAGTCACATCAGTGAGCCTTCCCACCGCCAGCTTGCAGGGAGCTTCCTGATAGCCAGCATTAACATTCTGTTCTGTAACCTTTACGGTGCCATCCAGCCCAGGTTCCCTCCTGCCCTTTGCCACCCTCTTTTGCATTTAATATTAAATCTGATTTTGCAGAGAGAGAGAGAGAGAGACAGAGCTCTGCTGTGTGCTCAGCCAAATCAAAGGGATTTTGCAATCCCCATCTGGGCACAGCCCCAGTCCAAAGGCTGAAGGCATCCTGGAGGCGGCACCGCCCCCCACCGCCTCCCCCCCAGGACTCCCCTTTTACCCCAGGACACAACGGCAGGGCTGATTTCCCCCCACCCCTCTGCTATTTTCCCCAGGGTCAGCACTCCGCAATGGAAGAGCAGCGCTCAGCCCCTCTTTTTGTGCGTTTACGGGGCTGTTGAGCACCGAGGCTGCGATGGGAAGCCGGCTGCAGCCAGATCTCCGAAGTGCTTCCATCACACTGAGCTCCTCTGTGCCTCCCACAGCATCCCCTCACACCTTTTCTCTGCTTTTTTCCCCCCCCTCTGATCGCTGCAAATGGTTCTGTTGGCGCAGCACAAAGCGGCTGACAGCCGAGCCGCAGCCCAGTGCTGATGGATGGCACGGGGACGGCTCTTTAATTGGATGCTCTGCACAGATTTCCCCACAAAAGGCGTTTTTTTTTAATCTAAAAGCAAGCGAGAAGCTGGAACGTGCCTCGTTTCTTTCACGACTTCCCCAGAGGCAGCAGCAGAGCGTTAAGGAGAAAGAAAAGGAGGGAGGAAAAAAAAAATAGTCAGCAGCACCAGGTGGCTGAGCAGCTCGCAGCCTAATTGATTCCTCTTTCATTAATACACAACCTGTTGCTCCCAACCGATTTTTGGTACAAGTAAAACCCTCCAGGCCCTGTGCTGGAGCAGCGACCCCAAACCCTGCACGGTCCAGTATTCCCAAAAATACCACCTGGAAGGGTTTCCTCCTTGACCCCTCTATTGTGTTCTCTCCCCTCTCCCCCCAGCAGCAGATCCAGCAATGCACAGCCCTGCGTTTGGCAGAGCACTGTGCTGTGGAGGAGGGATGATCGCTTTTCTAGGGATTGGGGTGGGGGAGTGCAGCAAAGCCCCCCCCCCCACACACACAGCATCTCCACCACTGCAGCACAGCAGCCGTTCCCCAGCAGGAAACCCAGAAATACCCGTTTCACAGCAAAGTGTCGTTTACCACTGCTTTTCACAGCTGATTCCTGCTGAGGAACCCTCCTCATTGTGCGAGCAGCGGGCGCTGGGAAGTGCAGATAGCTGCTCCTGGCATCTCCTCATGCAGATGCATCCTCCGTGCGCTCTCATGGGAATTGCAGGCACGTCGGGGAGAGAAAAGGAAGCTCTGTGCAAACACTGCAAGCTGGGCAGGGAAGATATCGGCACACAGCAGCCGTGGGGAGCACAGGAGCCCTCGCACGCAGCCCCACTTCGGGGCACGAAGCAGCCAAGCCGTGGCATTGCTGAGCTGTTCCACTGACGTTGCCCAGACCTCTCCGAGGCGCGATCTGCTCTGCAGACCTCACACCGCCGTGTGGATAATTAGTGGTAACTAACAGCCCCAGCAGGGGATGAAATTAGCAGCCTTGCTTTTACCACGGTGAAATGAGTCTGTGAGAGATGGAAATAACTGTGGGAGACGGCCCTGAGCTGTGACCCATCACCCCCAGGGCAGAACCCACCCCCCCCATGGGGATGCTCTGAGATGAGGAATGGGAGCACACAGGAGGCAGCCCTGCTGCAATCCTGTGCCCTGGGAGCTGCTCCCACGTTCCCAGCAGGCATCAATTCAGGCCTATGGCATCCTGCCCACGGGTTTCCCCTCCTCAGGTGTGGGCCAACAGTTCCCCACTGTTCATAAGAACCTCCATCTGCTTTTCAAGCAACCGCAGAGCGCGGTGCTTAATAGCATTGATTTCTCTTGATTTTTTTCCTCCTTCCAAGCACACTTCACCACCACCACCTCCATGGGGCTGGGAGGCAGAGGACACGGGGACGCAGCTCTGTCTCCTGCCTTAATCCCAACCATTAATAAAAGCAGATTTGGTGCCGCACGCAGAGATTAAACGAATCCCCCCCCCGTCTCCGCAGGCAGCACCAGCACACAGCTGCACTCATGGCACGGGGCTCTGCACTGCTAAGACACTAATTTGGGAAATGGAGCTGCGTGGCATTAATCAGCCCTCTGAGAGCCCCTCGGAACGCTGGAGGTGGTTTTAAAGTTGGCAGCTTTGGCTCAAAGCAGTGCCCGACTGAGTGATTTGTCACCGTGCCATCACCGCGTGTCACCCCATCCTTCCTCTGCGGGTGTGGGGCTGCATCTGGGTTGGTTGGTTTTGTTTTTTTTTGGGGGGGGGGAGGGTTAAGCCATGAGCCAAAGCTCCGAGCTCAGTGCCTGGGCTCCATCGAGGCTCTGTCCCATATCCCAGCCAGATTCTGTCTCTTTGGCAAGAGGTGAACCCATCCAGTGGCTGAGCTTCGGGAGCAGCTCAGCCTCTGCTCTGGTCACAATGGGCTGAGCAGGAGGGAAATCCTCAGGGCACATCAGCACAATGCCAAAGGAGAGGGGCTCTCATTCAGCACAAGAAGCCTCGTGCAGGTGGGCTGCTGGCACAGCAGAGCCATCCCAAGCAGAAAGCCTGCTACTGTGGCTCAGAGTGACCCCCAGGGAAATCTCAACCCCCCTGCCCCCCAACAACAAAGACAGCAGCCACTGGAAAACCAGCACTGGTGCCACTGTCCTCATCCTTCTCTACGTCTGCATCTCAGCATCCCTGCAAGGAAAGTTTCCCATTGTGGGGTCTTCCTAAAGCTCATGTAGGGACCACAAGAGCCCAGGACAGACCCCAAGGGACACAAAGCCATTCCTTGGGATGCAAGGAGCTCAGCACCCCCCCGGTGAGGGGCTGCTCCACCACCTCCACCCCCCAGAGGCAGCACCCCAATGCCAGTGTACCCACAGCACAACCACCCCGAGCATCACAACAGTTCCCTGCCAACACAGCTCCCATCCAACACCCAGAACAGAGCTCCAAGGACCAGCAGAACAGAGGGGTCTGAAGCGTTTATATAGGTACGTATATGTCATATATTTGTGTGTGTAACTATACATCGAGATCTGCATACTTACACACCCGCACAGGTAAATATTTATAGATACTGACCTCTTCAGATTAAAGTCCAAGGCACTTTTTACAGTGAACAGGTTAAAGCCATAGTTTAAAACGCGCCTGTTTCTGGGTACAGCTCGGTTTATGGCAATGCTGCTGGGACAGGAAGGGCCCGTTCCCTTCCCCTCTTCAGGGCCATGCACAGATTGGGAGGAGTGTGGGGCCGGATCCTCACCGCAGCCCCAAGCAGCTCTATAGGGCCATGTTGGGTTGTGCAGTGCAGGGGAGGAATGATTTGGGCAGGAGGTGGGGAAGAGCGCATCCTGGGGGCTGCAAACCTGCCCTTTGCTCAGGAAATGGGGCACAGATGGGGCTCATCCAGGGAAAAGCAAGAACCCCCCGAGCAGTAGGGCTTCCCCCCATTAAACCCTCCCTGCAGCCCTTAGGGAGCTGAGCGGGGAGAAGATGGGGGCAGGAAGCAGAGCAAAGCCCCCCAGCAGCAGCAGCATCATCTCCCCCTCCACCCCCCCAAAGGAGATACCCCAGCCCACCTACCTGGGGGTCACAGGGCTGTGAGATGGCTGGGGACAGGAGGAGCACGAGGGCCCCGAGCACCCTACAGACCTCAGCCCCAGCAGAAGGGGGTCAGCAATACCCTCACCACCACTCACAAGGAAAGGAGCCAGCCCTTCTCCTCCAGCCTGGCTATAAACCCCAGGAATCCCCCCCAAGCTGGGCTCAACGAGGGGCAGCTGGAGCTGCTGGGGGGGGCTTCAGCCCTGCAAGGAGCCCTCCAAGCTCTCTGACCTGCAGCTCCAGGTGGGTTAATGAGCTCTGATAGTGATAACTGATAACAGTGACAGCACTGAGAGGATGGGGGGGATAGAGGAGCTGCGTAAGGGATTTTGCTGTACTGGAGGAAGGCAGCAGGAATTGGTCCCAGGTGCCATGCCCAACCCTGGCTGCTGCTCTACATGGAAGGAGTGCAGAGCAGGGCTGCACAGGGGGGTTTAAGACTATTTCCCTACAGACCTCATCCTGCACACAGTGCTGAGATGCCCCCCAAGTGCACACTGAGAACAGCAAGCTGGGACAATCTCTGCAATCTCACCACGTCCCTCTCCTAAATTTGGGGCTGACCCTCCGTCCTACAATAGCACAGCCTGAAATGGAAGGAAACAAAACCTCCGGGCACCCCATGGCCTCCCCATGCCAAGTCCTTACCTGCCGTACCACCAGCGGGGACGTGGGGTGCCCTCATCCCCAAGCTGGGGACACGTTGACCTGAGAGGAAGAAGAGAGTGGGACCCCACAGCCCTCCTGCCCCGAGGAGGAGGATGGATGGGTGATCCCTGAACTTGGAGAGCACCGCACTGTGCCGGTGTGGCTGCTCTGAGCCAAACGTTTGGGTTGTTGAAGTCCAAAAGTGAGGGAGAAGCGATGCGCCCTGCACTGCTCCGTCCCCAAAGCCTCCATCCCGCGGGCGAATGGGACCAGGAGAGGGAATGGCTTTCAGGAGGCTGAGAAAAGCAAAAAGCAAAGCCCCGGTGCTACACAAATTTAGGATCCCAGTGGGGGATTAACGCCTTGGGATGGAAGGGATCGGGATGGGGGTTGTGCTGGGAGCTCCCACCAGCCCCGGCCCCGCAGTGACTGTACTCAGAAACAGACATTGGCAGCAGGCGGGCGTCGCTGCCTGCCGACAACAGGTCGGGTACAAAACCATAATTGAAAGTTACAATAACCTTTGTAATATAGCAATATATTTCATAGTTAAAATAAACTATTATGCTTTCCCCTATCGTTAAAAAAAGAAGCGAGCAGTACAGAGGCAAGGTGCAAACCCGTGCGGAAGCCTCCTTCAGTCTGGACAGAAGCGTTTCAGTCTGTGGGTTTGCAGAGAGGACGTCGTATTTTTTTTATTATTATTAT